ATATACTTCTACAAACTAATGGAATGTAGCAGGAATTTATAATTATACATCTAATTAAAAGTATACAAATACACATCACGTTAATAATGTAAATATGGAATGATTTGTAGAGGTCCCTTAAAAAATTCAATGTCAATAAAATGCATCTCATTTCAACTCTTACAAAATACGATTTAAGCAACCATTTACACAATGAAACAATGATTATATATACACATAATGATTGGACAATGGCACTTATACTTCGTATAAAAATATTATTCGGGTGTAAAAAAAAAAAAAAAAGTCCATATATACAAAAATACACTAAAAGAAAATCTGACTTGTAATATATCTTCAACCTTGATTATGAAACATGTCCCTTGTAAATTTTTTCGGCATAAATATCAAAATATTTTGGTAAAGTCTTAATTATCCAATATACAACTTCTGTATAAAGTTTGTCTCGAACAAGTTGTAAACTTCAGCCAGGCTAAATGAATCTCCAGTTTTACGTGGCAAAAGTGGAAGCCTCAAATTCTCATTTATAATGAATGATTTCATTTTTACACAAAACTGGACGTTCCCGGCACGTGACCAGACCCGTTAGCACCGCTAGGTGGCGGTTTTGGGCGGGTGTTGATCGGGTTTCCGTCACGATCAAACTTGCCTGGTTCCCTGTACTGGTCATAGTCGACGTCATCAATGGGGCGTTTCTCGTAGCTTGGGGTGCGTTCGTAGGTGCGTTTTTGGTAAGGTTCATAATTTCTATCATCATCCGGGTAATAATGATCATCCCTATCGCTTGGTCGTCGGTCATTGTCCCTAAATCCGCCTTCGTCGTCATCATCATATCGCCTCCTGTCATCGCTATATCGATCATCATCATCGTATCCTCTCCTGTCGTCCTCATAACGATCATCGTGATAGCGATCGTCGTAATAATGATTGTTGTAAGCGTTGTCATCGTACCGAGAGTCATATCGTTCATCGTATGGCTGGTCGTCCTGATCGTAACCATCGCGATATCGGTCGTACCCTTCAGAATCGTCATAGTACGGCTTATCCAAGGAAGAGGCGCTTTTCTTGTGCATACTGCCCTCATAACTAAAATATTAAAGATTATACAATGATCATAAAAAATACAAATTAAACGATATCCAAGTTAAACAGACTAAAAACTATGTATTTTTTCAAGCTACCGAAATCTAGAAATATATCGTGTATATTGACATGGTTAATCACAGTTTCATTAATTATTGTAACGAGATGAAATTCCTTACAATCCATTCAGAGGAAATTACAATTCAAAAAACTGACCTACTGTGAAAACAAAATCTCTTTCCGTTTTATTATAAAAAACGTATTTATGACTTAAATCTAAACTAATTATAACTATTCTCATTATTAAAATGAACTAAAATTTGAAATTGTTTAATTCCACAAGCATAAATTTTCAGTATGAAGTCTATCAAAATTTGTCAGTATTTAAATTGAAGATTTAATAATTCTCTAGCTTCGCTACGTATTGCATGTTATTAAATAATTTGCAAATACTAAACTATATCAAGGCAAAATGTTTCCATTCAGTGACGTCAAGTAAATTTTGCATAATAGCAATATATATACAAATGATAGTAATCTGCATAGCACATACATATATATGCGCATTTGAATCATTTCAAAAATTCACACTCATACAAAAGTCATGCGCTTCACAACATTTTTGGTTAAGTTGTAAAAAAAAATCATGCTCTGGGAATTCCTGCTCGACTTGCTTAACAGAAAAAAATTACATGTATATTTCATGTAATACCATTGCCTGAGCATCACCGATGAATGCGATACAAAAGCATTGATCACGATACCGACACACGATACAACTCTGTATTGCATATAATAAGTATGATGTTATAATTTTAATTTTGTTTTTTGCAGAATGAAAAAAGCAACTTTCTGATTAAGAACTATTTATTGTGAAACCTTGATTACTAAACAAGTAACTACAGAAATAAATGAATTTATAATTTTGATAACTGTTTCTACTTTCTAAGTTTTATGGATGTCATTTTGTTTATCCAGTTTTTGTAAAGTTAAAAGACATGTACTTCCTGTATCAAGATTCTGGAATGAGGATAAGAATACGCGTATCATTTAGACACACGATCACAATTTATATTATTCGTTTGTAGCTAGAGCACTGAATAACTGTGTTTTTTATTCTTTATATTTCCTGCTGTCTTGCTTTGAAGGGAAAAAAATACCCCCCCCCCCCCCCCCAAACACTAGACCTGTAGCTGTTTACTAAACATATCTGTGCTTTGTACTTGTAACTTGTCAGGATCTTGCAAATAAAGTTCTTACAAGGAAAAAAAAATGTAAAAGAAGCCATCCCTATTTCCACTCGGTATGAAATAAATAAAGCAGAAATGTAATTCTTCATTAAAAACAAACAAAAAAGTTCCTAATTTATCATCCAGACCCAGACACCTTCTGTGTGATTAATTTGGAACAAGCGATCGGAAGAGCTCCTTTACCCCTGTTACATACCCCCAGGTAATAATTTTAATTCCGGAAGGATATTCAAAATGGAAGCAATGACTTCACTATCTGATCTACTGATTTGCATTTTTTCTGTACAAGCAGTATCCCTTGATAGAATTTAGACGTGAATGTTTATTCGATTTCAAAATTGTAAAATAACAGAAGTGATGGAACTCGTTGCTTTGGACATAATAACTAAACTTTTTTTTCAACATTTGTTTCAAGCAGGAATAAGGTTACAACATTGAACCTCATGCAGTTTAGCAGTTTTCCATCACAAATAAATAATATTAAAAAATTCATTAAAATATCAAGAGCAAAACCAAGGCACATTATTGAATGGAAACATAACTGCCTTGGTCTAGATGACACATTTTGGCTTTTAAAAAAAGTCTTCTTTTATTTTAAATTTTACAAAAAAAGCTACATTCATTTGTATCCTGGATATGTACAAATGACTATATATCATATGATATTTAATCTTAACTTCTGGCACAAGAAAGACATGATGAAGGATTGATCTAGCTTTACTTTATGAACTGAATACATTAAGCATGTGCAAGGGTCACACTTGAACATACAAATTTTTGATATTTTCTGTGTTCTAATATCTTTGGGCACATTGATCAAGTGAATGGCTTTGAAGTTTAAGGAATCACTAATTTTAAATATTAAATAATGTTTGAAATTTGCTACCTTAATGTGTCATCATCAAAATTAAAACAGCACACATTTGGATACATGCTTTGGAGATAAAGTATATAATAGGATAATATACCAATACAGATTGTCATGGTAACAGTTATTCAATTTACTGGGTACAAAGAGTCCAAACAGAGTTCCGTTACAAATACATGTAAATAAAATCACTTGCTTTAAAACGCACCTTTAAAAATATGTTAAGAAAACTAGAAAACATTGCAATGATGTTTCTATCTTCACTTAATGTACTTGTATAATTACAAATGTTTTTTGTTTAATTATTCCTTCATATTTTTGCACAACCCTGTAACCATGACAACCTGTGACTACCTGTGGCTAGGGCACGAAACATTTACCTTCCATACCTGTAATTGTATTCACCGTCCTGTCCAGACATGGCCGACACACTTCGAGTTGGAGCTATAGGTCAAAATCATTGTCATTATCCACATACAAGTCACAACTTTTTCTTAGCATTTACCTCAAGTAATCCCAAGACTAATATTTTACTCATTAATGAAATGGTCCCAATCAAAATTTAAACTGAATTTCTCCCGCTTCTTTCAATATTTATTTAAAACAACATTTCGTTAATTTTTGGTGTCTTTTACATGTAAATCTTTATACATAAACTATAAGTAAATATCCTGTTAAAACAAATTCTGCTGTAAAATTCAATTCAGTCTTCCTCTACAGTTCCCTTCCCTTCATATTCACATTGAAAATGCAAATGTTAAATACTCTGCAAATATTTTTTTGGGGTTAGATTTAAAATGTAAGATAACTCAAGAAATGGGGAAAAAAAGTCTGAGAATGTCAATGCTAGTTCCCTCCCCACATTCACTTTTGGCTGGTGCCCTGACTTACCGTTGAGTTTGGACTGGGGTGGTGGTTGGTGTTTAGTGACCTTGCGGCACATGATGATAAACACCACCACTGCGATGATGATCAGCAGAGACAGAATGAGACCAATAAACCACGCAAAGTTTGCACCAAGACTGTATGCCGCTGCTGTAGTGGAAAAAGAAATTCTCAATCTTAATATCTAACATTTTTCTTCTATTAGCAACTATGCCTATATGTACATGTACTTCTTTGGTTTGAAGAAAAAACACTGAAACATGCATGTTTATAACTTCATTCAAATTATAGTTAAATGTTACTTATAAATATTACTTATAAAATTTATTCAATACTGTACTCACCGACTCCAAGTGTTCTGACAGTCTGAATGGCACTAGTGGATGGAGACTTTCCATCGGTCAAGACAAGACGGACTTCATATGTAGTACCATCGTCCAGTTCAGTGATCGCTCTCCATTGTTTGGCCACCTCATCAGGAGTACGCTGGAATTCATACACACCTGAAACAAAAAATACCAACTTATATGTACATGTAAAAGTTCTCCAAATTTTAAAAAGGTTACCATCATGGAAAATTACAAAACACATTCTGTAAAAAACTTAGGTTATATCATCTTAAGCCAACAGAGTAAATTTGTGATCATTTCTTATCAAAAATTTACTTTACAATTTCAAAATTAGGCACCTCAAAAACTAGAATTGTATTTGTCTTATCCTCAGTATCAATTTCATTATAAAGTACTCAGATAGCCTTTTAATATTTGCAAATTACATAATACATGTCTGTGATCTTTTTATTTGTGTGTTGCTAAAAATACATGCTTACCTTCTTTTCTGTACTCAATGTAAATGACCGTGCCAGATTTGGGGTCCATTTTCAAATTCCAGGTCACATTAACAAAGGTCTGGTTTACATCCTTCATTGTAAATGATGGTGCATTTGACGCTGAAAAAAGAATTCTTACTCTGTCACAAAAGGTATGATTTATTGATTTCCCTCTATTATAATATTTATGTCATATATGTATTTTCCATTTCTTTTTTTTTTTAATTGAAGTTCTTTCAGGAGGAAAATTAATATACTTTTTTGAATCCTAGTTATTATTAAAAAATAGCATTCACTGGCATGTATGCACTAAATGAATATAGAAAATCTTTTGTTACAAAGATAAAATTCTACTAATATATGTACATGTAGATACAATAGTATTAAAATAACAATTTTGCTGGGACACAAGTCAAAATTTCTTAGTATCAAATGTAATTCAAGTACACAATTTCAAACAAATTGTCAATACTGCACTAAAAACTTCCTTTTTTATTTTCTTGTGCACAATATACAAAGTACATGACACTTACATGCAGGTCCTGAGGTTGAGGCCTCAATAAATGACACTTCCCCTCGACCTTTGGTATTCTTAGGCCACACATATAGCCTGTATTTGGTTTTATATACCAGTCCATTTACAAATGTATCATTAGTCCTTGGATCAGTGATGTCTGGGATCTTCTCTTGGAGATTTCCAAGGTCCAAACCACTCACTGCAGGAGAGACATTGTGCAAATAAATACATGTATTATACCCAAAAAAATTCAAACTAAATGAATTCAGGTATTTTTCCTTATCGATGCCAACAGCAGATTGTAACCAATACTGTGTGCCTAATTTCCTCTTCAAACACTAGTACATCTTGACCTTTTAACAGAATACACAAGAATTTCTTTCCCTTCTTCAAAAAATTCCAAAGTACATGTACATTGAAGAGAGAATTATACAAAAGATATTTAGCACAGAAAAGGCAAGCTGCTTTTCTGTATATGAATAGCTGACCTGTTTGGTATCCTATGTCATACCCAGATAACAGGTTGTACCAGTTACTACCAAAAGCTTGATCCACCACCTCGGGGGGTTCCCAGGCCAGCCTTATAAAGTTACTTCCTGACTGTGCCACACGGAGATTTCTCACTGGTCCAGTTACTACAATAGACAACAGTTATCCCCCTTTAAATTACTTCATATCAATGCTACATGTGCAATATTCAGTTTTGTACAGTAAACGAAAGTAGTACTAGAAAAAATTTCATTAGTTATCTTTTATTTTTAAATATTTTGGAACCTGACAAGAATATCATTATCTATTCTAAAACAAAATATAGTAAATAATTTTCGTCAAATTATGTTGAAAACACAAACCTCCCAGAGTTGTCCTGAATGACACAATAGCACTAGGTGGTCCTGCATAATACGTGTTCATTACTCTCATCTGTGCCTCATAATCCTGGTATCCAAGCAGCCCCTCCAATGTAAATTTATACGACTGGATGGCTCGCTTCTTTCGTCTTGCATATCGGAGAGTGAGCTCACTAACTGGAATCTCTGCTTCTTGGAATGTTTGTTCCTTCTGACCTCTGACCCAGTATTGAATCTAAATTATAAAAAAAAAAAATGCACTGAATGTATTGAGTCTGACATAAACCATAAAGAAAAGGCAGATTCAGATATTAATTTATTCTTATTTTTTTGTACTCTTATATTAATTATTATACATGTATCTACTCAGCTTAAATTAATTTTAGTCCAAACATTGTAATAAGGAGATAAGAAGTTAAACCATAAAATATCGTTTTTACAAGAAATACACTGCATAATAAAAACGTCTTTTATTAGCATGATTGAAAAGGGAGCAACTCAATTATCTTTTTCCACTTGAAAAAAAAAATTAGAAAATTGAGTTATTTCCCTTTGCAATCCAACCAACCAATGCGGCAGTGTTTGATCTGATGCGGTGGTGCCCGAGAAACTAAAGATTAATTCTTTTTGGCCTTAAGGCAAAATTTTATATTGGCGAATAGTGGCATGGTGAATCTTAAAGAATAGTTATATTTAAATTGTATCTGAATTACCCTTGGTAATACATCTTTTAAAATATTTTAAACTGAAGATATAAGACCTACCTTAAATCCCCTGAAGATTCCCTGGACTGGGGTGCCTGCCTGTGGGGTATTTAGATTCTCATCCCAGTCCCAGTAGAAGATGACGGAGGACTCTGTGACAGTGGAGTCTATGGTAAGCTCTGACACAGTGATAGTGGGGACTGAAAAATAAAATGTTACCCACAGATCTCATACAATGTGTGGCCTCTTCTTTATAGAGTAAGAATTGATAGAATTCTTTTCCCAGGAGATATTTAATTCCATGTTCAAAGAACTAAACGAAAATAAGCAACAATAAATATTTTTTCATAAAAGATGAGTTTTAATTATTTCAAAACAGTCTAATACATGTTTATACAAATACTGATAAAAATTCCCTACTTTAACACAAAATTTAGAGACAAACTGCATGACCGATATGTATTGGAAGTTCATGTTTTGATATGATACACTTGAGAATATTGATATATGCATTGATACAGTATATTGATATATTGACTCAGCCCTAGTGTGAACAAGAACCACTTACTTTCCTCGGCTGAGTAACCTTTGACCTCCTGGACTGGAGCAGTTGAGTCACCAGCTTCATTGTTTGCTTTGATTGTAATGATATATGGCACAAAGACATCGTTAGTCTGTTTCTCATAGCGGAACGTCCTCCACTCTGAGATGGTGACCGGTGAGATGTCATTGGTGCCTTGTCCCTCTCTCTGAATGGTCAGGATATATTTGAACTGCTGACCATTGTGCTCAATGGGGGGCATAGGCTAAGAAAGTAAAATGAAAATGAAATATTATGTACTAAAATGAAAGTAAAAGCATGTATATGTATGGTAAAGGAAAACATCATGATTAAGAAATTGGACAGGTCAAAAAGGTTTGATAAGAATATTCATATTATGCAATTTAATGTGTGATTATATGTATATTGTAATAATGTTATCATTTTATTCAAAGATGTAATATTTCCTGGATTTTCTCAACTGAACCCTAACAAAATACAACTATGTATAACTTTTTCACACTGTACAGCAATCATATCATTATTACAGAAAATCGAAAGGGTGTTTTAAATTATGAAATTTTTCAATCTATAATACTGTATAAATGGTTGCTAATCTTCAATATACAGAGTCATGTACATTTCATGTCAATATCATAGAATTACATTTCAGATCTACATGACATGCAATTATCCTAATGAAATATTTCAAAGCTTTATCCAGTAATTTTTTAAATTCAGCTTTTCTTGTTTAAATTTAACATGATGACAAGGTCTTAATGCAACATACCGTCCATTCAATTATCAGATAGTTTCTCTTGTCTCCAATGGTACGGACATTTTCTGGATTTTTAGATGGTCTGGCTGCGTTAGTCTTACAGATCTGTTCTGTGTGATAGCTAGGTTCACTGGCGCCGATTTTATTCGTAGCCAGAACTCGGAAGCTGTACTCCACCCATGGCGTAAGTTTGACAAACCCATTGTTCTGGGTTGCCAAGACATTATTGGCTCCAATAAACCACTCGTCAGGACTAAAGGATGTGTTGTACTGAATTATAAAATACTGAATTGGAGCATTGTTAGATGCACCTTTGGTCCAACCTATTTCTGCCTGTGTTTCACTGCAGGTAATTAATGTCACTCCTATCGGTGGGTCTGGTTTATCTGTAGTAAGAGAAGTATGAAAATCACTTTTAACATGTATACATTATGCTGCTTGCTGAATAATAGTATATATTAATTACTAGAGATGTAAAATCTGTGTTGCTCAACATGTCATTTTTTTTTTTACATTTCCCATATCAAAGCACATCTGGTTATTTAAACTATAACTAAAATTTGAATCAGTTTTTAAAGGACTTTGTAAATCGCAAAATCTTCAATTAATTGCCTAGTTTGTAAAAATTAACAATTATTTTGGGAAATTCAATTGACAGGAAGTTAAGCCTTTACCCTTTACTGTCAGAATGGCTCCTGCTGTGGCACTATCCAATCCATTAGAGATCACACAAGTGTATGTTCCAGAGTCTCGAGCAATGGTACCACTAATGGTCAGGGAGTTATCCTGGAAGTTCTGGGTCATTCTCTGGTCATTTGTTGTGATTGGTTTGTTATCCTTCAACCAGGAAATTCGCAGATTCTTAATCTCGGCGAAATCTGTTGTTCCGGAGCAGGTGAACTTTGCGTCACTTCCTGCAGTTACTTCCAACCCGCCAGGCCTCTGCACAGTCCTAGTTTTGGCTGCAAAATGTAGGAAAATAAAATATTTAGAAACTTTTTTAACTTACAATACTACAAGACAAATTCCTTTACGTATATGCCTTTGATTCTAAAAAAAAAAAAAAAAAAAAAGAGAGGAAACCCGAGCATTTGCATATCAAAATTACATGTATTGCACTCTCTTCAAGGATGACTGAACATGCCAATTATTGCATAAACAATAGAAAACCTTTCATAGCAATAAACTAAGAGGAAAATTCCTTGACTCTCTTACCTCGGACTATCAAGACTCCCCAGGCTTCATCAAAGTTAAATTTATTGTAGGCATGACACGTGTAGTTACCAGCATCAGACAATACGACACTCTGTTAAACAGACAATACAATCATGTACATACAGCATTACAAAATACAGTCAAGTAGATTCACAATTTAATGGGTTTCTAAATCAGTTTAAAAGATAAGGAAACAACATATCCATATAATTTTTTAATGCTTTTTAAGAAATTTATCAAATTAATAGGTAGATTTCTTTCAATATTCCTTATAACTTTTTATAAGCAACTAGTATACTCAATACTCTGCAGACACACTTAGGGAGTAAGCAAAAGTGACAAAATACATGTGTACATACAGTCAAACCTCGTTATCTCAAACTCAAACCTTGTTATCTCAAACTCAATTGGAACTTCATGAGATTAATCCTCCGGAAATCTGAGGATTTGAGATAACGAAAGTGAAAAACAAGTGGTTGGACTGCCAAATCACTTAGATATATCCCTGATATTTGAGATATAGGTGTTTGTCATGAGATGATAAAGTTCAACTGTACCTCTATGTGAAGGTTTCCGTTGGGTTGGATTTGGTATCTTCCTCCCGTTATCTGCTCCCCCTCCTTTCTCCAGGTGATGATGGGTTCTGGTTTTCCACTGGTGATACATGTCAGCTCGATATCTCGACTTTCTGCGACCTTAAGCTCGCGAGCTGGTGGGACAATGATGGCTGGTTCTTCCTCTGGTTTTTGGGAAAAAAGTGAATTGCATTTCAATAGTACGCTTGTTTTAGCAACCTTTTGTAATGACTCCCTTAGCTTTTAAAATCATAGTCATAACTATTGTACAAGAAGACAGAATAAGCCCGCTAAATTCTGATCTTCAAACTATAAGTTAACTTCTATTAATAAAAATCTTGACTACCAATTGACACACAAGAAAAAAATACTTACCCAAAACATTTAGATAAACATCAGAAAACACGTAACCATGGATGTTGGAGGCATTACATTGTATGACCATATGGTCATTTTTGTTCAAGTTCACAAAGGTCAAGTTGTTAGCATCAGGTTTCAGGAATCTGTCACTTTGAAATATTGGTACCTTAGATTCTATGAATAAAAACATAAGTCAAATTTAATTAACGGAAACCAATACAAAAAATATTTTATTACACTGTTAATCATCTAGAAAATCAAAAATTTCACGTAAATTCATTAAAATTCCCGAACTGGTAAAAATTAATTTACTTATTCAAAGAAATAAAAGGCATATTACCTTCCAGCTTGATTCCATTAATGAGCCATGCTATTTTTGGCTCAGGGTAACCTTTAGCCTTGCAGATAAAGGTCACAGCTGCCCCAACACTAGTCTCAACGTCTTTTGGCTCAACTTCCCAATATGGCTTGGCTAAAATAAAATTTTACATACACTTGAGGAATTATTTTCATTAGCAATCATTTAAGATTGAATAAATGTAACAGAACAGTAATTATAATTGTTAAACCAATACAGTATTATACATAACAATTTTGATTTATGGCAATACTTAATTTGACTGCAGTTTTACAAAGGATAATACCAAACTGGAAATACATGTAAAAAATTATGTGTTTCTCTGAAGTTTTCCTAAGTCAAACTGGATATAAAACAACAAAAAATATACAGTCATATAGTGTATAAACCATGAATAGCTTACATTCCACTCTGATGACAAAATTTCTGAAGGCTCGAGGTCCTTGGGTGTTTGTGCCGTAACACTCGTAGGGCCCGGCATCGTCCTCTGTCAGGTTAGGTATCGTCAGTTCCTGTCCTCCAAGTGAGACTTCATAATAATCAGGAAGGTCGGCCTTATTTTTCAACCAGAACACTTCTGGGGTGGGACTTGATAAAAGAAAATACAAACTTGGTGTTTACACAGGTCAACAAAATAATGAGAAATAAAAGACATTCTTTTAAGATTCAAGACCAAAGAAATTTATTTTGTATATACTTAACATTTACAGCTCCCTCTGAACTTGTATTAATATGCAATTATTGGAAAGAGCTACTGTCATGCTGATAAGTTTTTGCTTGGTAGAACTTTTTTTTAATATATAAAAGCTTGGATCAAGGCAAGTTTACAATGAATGAAAATTCCAACCAAACCATGTAATCCAGATTAAATGAATATACATGTACAGAACTATTCAACTTACTTTCCACTGAAAATACACTTGAGTTTGAATGTGTCTCCCCTCAGACCAAAGTGATCAGAAGGTGAGGCCCAGAGGTACTCGGCAGGTCTCTTAACAGGTGAGCCTAAAATCAGCAAAAATTATATCAATGACCTATATTGTACTATTTCTCAAACTAAAACATACTTCAGGGTAAATGAAGTTGACAGAAATTCTAACAAGAGGTCCAAGGGCCTTAACGGTCACCTGAGTATTATACAACAATTTCAAGGATGCATAGAGTATAAAATGAACTGAAAGGTGAAGCTTTGTTGCCCAAAAGCAAGAAAAATAGGTTGATTATGATCAACAAAATAATTGGTCTTAATATTCATTTACAGTTCATAAATTAGGTTCTAATCTGTTCCCCATTTATCACTATCACTATACAGTATATTAACAAATTATCAATGCTTCTGTACTATTTTAATCCTTTGTTGAAATCTCTTACATTGGCATCTCTTGGTCTTTGATGAATATTTAATAAGACAAGTTATTTTTGTCTCATTTTTATTTATCTACTACTTACAAGTCTATCTGATCATTAAAACTATGAAAGTACTTTTTGTATTATACAATAAAAGTTTTTGCATAATTCTCTTATTCTATTTACCTTTCAAGTATATTATTTACAGTGATAAATTATCAAAAGTAAATGGCAAAGGGGAATAACTCCTCTCAGTAGAATACAAACTAATAGAGCCCTGGCCAGGACCAGAACACTTGACCAAATGGTCCAGATGTTCAAAAATCTGGTAAAAATTCCCTTCCTTGTAAAAACTTTTACTCTGTTTGCCTCAGATATGCCCAGGTGCGGAAAAGATTTTTAAATAAATAATGCATTTTTACTACAGATTCACTATATTATCAATAGAGCCCCCAACCCCCACCCCCAAAACACCAGAGCTTCTGACCCTGGGACCATATGTTTGCTCATCATCACTTTGTTTATCAGCTTAACACTAAGGAGCAAACAGGATTATTTAATAGAATTAATGCATTTTCACTAAATTATCAAGAGCCCCACCCTCACACCAGCACATCTGACCCAGGGGTCATGAAATTCACTACTCTGGAAGAAGCACACTTGCTCATCATAACTATACACTGAGCTTCTTTGCTTTTTTAACCAGAAGAAGAAAAGAATATTTTCAAAGAAATTTTGCTTTTTCACTTTATAATCAATATAAGCCCCCCCCCCCCTTTCACCAGAACCCTTAAACCTGGGGTCATAAAATTCACAATTTTGGAAGAGGCATCCTTGTGTATCATAACAATGTACTTTAGTCTGTTTAAGCAATACCCAGGGGCAGAGAAGAAGATTTTCAAAGAAATAATTCACCTTCACTATAGGATCTATATAGCCCCGCCCTAACACCAGAACTCCTGTCCCCAGGGCCATGAATTTCACAATTTTGGAAGAGGCATCCTTGCTTATCATAACAATGTACTTAGTTTGTTTAAATAATACCCAGGTGCTGAGAAAAAGATTTTTAAAGAATTAAAACATTTTCACTTTATAATCAATAGAGCCCCGCCCTAACACCAGAACCCCTGATCCAGGGGCCACGAATTTCACAATTTTGAAAGAGGCATCCTTGATTATCATAACTATGTATTTAATGTGTTTCAATAATACCCAGGAGTAGATAAGAAGATTTTCAAAGAATTAATGCATTTTCACTATATAATCAATAGAGCCCCACCCTAACACCAGAACCCCTGACCCAGGGGCCATGAAATTCACAATTTTGAAAGAGGCACTCTTGCTCATCATAAGTATGTACTCAGTTACTAAATTTAATACCCAAGAGCAGAGAAGAAGATTTTCAAAGGATTAATGCATTTTCACTATATAATCAATAGAGTCCCACCCTAACACCAGAACCCCTGACCCTGGGGCCATGAAATTCACAATTTTGGAAGAGGCACTCTTGCTTATCCTAACTATGTACTTAGTTAGTTTATTTAATACCCAGGAGCAGAGAAGAAGATTTTCAATGAATTAATGCATTTTCACTATATAATCAATAGAGCCCCGCCCTAACACCAGAACCCCTGCCCCTGGGGCCATGAATTTCACAATTTTGGAAGAGTCACTCTTACTCATCATAACTATATACTTAGTTAGTTTATTTAATACCCAGGAGCAGAGAAGAAGATTTTCAATGAATTAATGCATTTTCACTATATAATCAATAGAGCCCCGCCCTAACACCAGAACCCCTGCCCCTGGGGCCATGAATTTCACAATTTTGGAAGAGGCACTCTTACTCATCATTCCTATATACTTAGTTAGTTTATTTAATACCCAGGAGCAGAGAAGAAGATTTTCAATGAATTAATGCATTTTCACTATATAATCAATAGAGCCCCGCCCTAACACCAGAACCCCTGCCCCTGGGGCCATGAATTTCACAATTTTGGAAGAGGCACTCTTACTCATTTTAACTATACACTTAGTTAGTTTATTTAATACCCAGGAGCAGAGAAGAAGATTTTCAATGAATTAATGCATTTTCACTATATAATCAATAGAGCCCCGCCCTAACACCAGAACCCCTGCCCCTGGGGCCATGAATTTCACAATTTTGGAAGAGGCACTCTTACTCATCATTACTATATACTTAGTTAGTTTATTTAATACCCAGGAGCAGAGAAGAAGATTTCCAAAGAATTAATGCATTTTCACTATATAATCAATAGAGCCCCGCCCTAACACCAGAACCCCTGACCCTGGGGCCATGAATTTCACAATTTTGGAAGAGGCACTCTTACTCATCATAACTATATACTTAGTTAGTTTATTTAATACCCAGGAGCAGAGAAGAAGATTTTCAAAGAAATAATGCACTTTCACTATATGATCTATATAGCCCCGCCCTAGCACCAGAACCCCTGACCCTGGGGCCATGAATTTCACAATTTTGGTAGAGGACTCAATGCTTATTACAATCATGCCAACAGTTTGACTGCTTGATGTCCAGGAGTAAAGAAGAAGATTTTTAAAGATTGCATTAATTTTGGTGGTTTTAGCCCCACCCCTCAGGCCCCAGGGGGGCAGGGACCATGAAATTCACAATTTTTGTTCCCCTTCACCCATAGATGCTATATGCCAAATTTAGTTGAAATTGGTTGAGCGGTTTCAGAGAAGAAGCTAAAAATGTTCAAATGTTAACGCACATCGCACGACGCACGCCGGCGGACAAAAACGGATAGCAATAGGTCACCTGAGTGACTCAGGTGACCTAAAAATTTAGTTTGCTAAAAAAATCATAAATTATCATATATACAGTGTACGTTGTATCACATCTGGTACAAAAAAAATCTAGGTGAATTCAGCTACAATGTGAAAGCAAATAAAAAATAGTTTAGAAGTTGCAGAACCTGCATTAAATATTTATACTAATCTGAAATCTATTTCATAATACATGTACTTAGCATAACTTATACTAAGTAACAAAAAAAAATTATCTTGTCCGATTTTAAAGCCATAATGCCACTGTATCATTTTGTTCTTACTTCCACTAGGGACGATGTAGTTGGCTTTGTCGTATGTGTTTCGCCTCATGAAGTAATTAATGGCCATACAAACATAGGCTTTTCCTTCCTTGTAGTCTTGAGCTTGTACGTTGGTGATGTACAGTCGTCCTGCAAAGGCATGACAGATTCAATTTTCTTCTCTTGATACACTGATTTGTTAAAAACTTTTCATGTTTCTCTTAATGATAGAGTCTGACTAATATTTATTAGAGAAGCATGGGACTTAATACAACAAGTACAGTATCTTGATACACATGTACACAAGAATATTCCCAGGAATTATGATGTACATGTAAATATAAATCAAATTTTTTAAAACTTTTTTTATTACAAAGTTACATGCATGTCCCTTATAAATTTCAAACTTTACTTCCATTGACCTTGTCAAAATGACCTTCAAACTTTACGACCATTGACCTTGTCAAAATGACCTTCAAACTTTACTTCCATTGACCTTGTCAGAATGACCTTTAAGAAGGTTCATGACTAAATTTTCTAGTCAGATGCAACCTTTTTGTCAAGCTTGAGCTTCAAGATATATTAAAATGTTTCTAAACAATAAAGATTACATATAGCCTCAAGCAGTGTTTACTACTTTCCTTTCATTGACCATGGCTTTGTTGAAACAATCTTTATGACTTTTAAAGACCATCAAATAAATAACAAGCTTAAAGTTTGTATCTCATACACCAGCAAGTAGTCAGGAAGAGCATCTTATATTCTTTAAGAAGGTTATAAACCAAAATTTGTGACAGTCATAGTGAATCATATCTATACACCTGTGATTTTATTTGCAGGCGATCTGATCAGAGGTTTATTATACAGAGAAGTATTTGTATTACTGTACACAAGAATTTGATGAATAATTCCTTCCTTAAAGTGATAAACTTAAAGGCATTCAATAAATTTTGACAAATAATTGTATCTCAATATGATAAAAGTGGTAACCACTGCCTAACAAAAATTACTCATGTGTGTCTTCTAAATTTTCATTATGTTGGCTCTCAAATAATACAATCATAATCTTGGATCCACCCATGCATTTAAAACCAACCTTCCAGATCCATCGAGATTCTGTTGTTATAGTTGATAGGCTCAATATGACCTTCAGCTGTCTTTAGCACCCACTCAACATCAGCTGGGGGGAAGCTAGTGGGAGGAACACAGTTAAGAGTGACCGACTCCCCTAGCTGTGGACGGTGTGTAACGGAGTCTGCTACTTCAAATTCATCCAACTTTCCCTCCCTAAAAATTAAAATTAATTATGATTACAATAAATGCATGCCATATTAATTCTTGCAAATCAATTAATGAGCAGGGAACAGTATATACAAAAATAGATTAATTCTTGAATTTGAGATACAGTAACTGTTATTGAAACAAAAAAAAGCAAGAGGCTAATAAGCAATACTGCTTACTTATGCCAACTTGTTCTTACTAACAAATTGAACAAATCTGAACAACTCTGATTCTGCTATAAATCTAAGAGAGCTTTGGCTCTGAGAGCAGCCCTAGAATTCTGGAAAAGTTTATGATTTTGAACAATTCTATTTTACAGTGATGCAAGCTTATGAATTCAAAAAGGATTACTACTAACATGAAAAATTTAATTTTTGTTTGATATTTCGGAGAAAATCCTCAAATATTACATGTGTTTCTATACAAGACTTTGATTATATTCAAGAAGCCAAGTAATTTTGAGTGAACAATCCTAGAGAATTCATGCATATCAAATTGACTAATTTTAGTTTTATGATTTGTTTTGGAGAAAGATGCTCAAGAGTGTGTGATATGTTAGAGAAAAGATAATTATTATCTAAGCAAGCAATGTCACAAGGGCCCAGAATTATAAAGATCATGAAGTACTTATAAAGACTATTGTGTCTAAATTAATCTTTCCAAAATTCATGAAGAAAATATATTAAATAAAATTTACCTAAAGTTCACGTTAATGGACACCGATATTCCAAAATTGTTGTCAGCAATACATTGGAAAATACCCTCATCTTTATCTTCTGGTGCATTGATAACAATGGTTCCCTCATCTGAGAGCTGGACGAAACGGTCGTCATTACCGCTGGGATTCAAGTCAATACCATTTCTTTTCCATCTGTACCTGTTCATGAAAATAATAGCAAAACAATTTTGTGATTTTTCACATAGAAGCATTATATATAGTCAAACAATTGTTTGTTATTTCTTCTTTCCCCCTCATCTTGCTCATACCTTGTGGATAAAATTCTTTATTCAACTTGTTGACATATGTAGAGGAAGTAGGCATGCAGAAAAGATGTTTACTTTTGAGTCCAAAAATGAAAATTTTAAAGTCATATTGAGTCAATGAATCCCAATTTTTTAAAGAAAACAGAAAGAAAAGAAAGAAAAAAACCAAACCCCTCCCCCCACAAAAAAAACAAAACAAAAAAAAACAGTAATTTTAATCACAAAACCATGGAATTGCTCATTGACAAGCACTCATGTTTGCACATTTGTATGACAGATTCGGGATGGAAAGAACAACATATTTACTCTTGCTTATACAATAAATTTTCATTTTTGTTACATGAACTTACGTTGGTTTTGGCACTCCATCTGCCCTGCAAGGTAGTTTCACAGATTCACCATCTTTATAATAAACATCAAAGTCTGGCTGCATATAAATACCTGGAGGTCTATTTGGTATGACTTTTTGTTTTCCTGTTATGGAAAAATTAAAATTATAAGCTAGTTATTGTGCCAGCTACAGCTAATAACCATTTAATATAGTGTTTGCATGTTTGTGCTGATTGAATTATGAATAAAATTTCATGGTTTTATCATGTTTCACTCTGCCAAATTCATCATGTTGAATTTCATGAAAATTATAAAGTTATGTTTCCTCTTAGACTTTTACTAAATATATAAAATAGAATATTGAAGTTGGGTATAGAATTTCTCATAGGATATACTATATAAACATACATGTCAAATCATTTAATTCTATGATACTCAAAATGTACAAATGTATGTTGTTTCTTATATAATTAAATGTAATGTTGTTTAACATGGCTTGCTTATACTGGAAAAAAAATTAAAGAAAGAAAAACATACAGAGATTTTTCCCCCCTTATAATTAGTTGGTACCAATAAATGGTACCATTCCCAAGGCTAAAAAATGTTTTTTTCCCCAATTTTGAGACTAAAAATTTCCATTTCAACTGCCAAGGAATAGACTACGATGACATTTTAATTCTTTTCAAAGCATTAAACTTAAATGTTGTATCTTGTATGAGATGACTTGTGGTTCAATTCCTCTTAAACCATAAGTAGAGATCAGTTGTAATATTGCGGGACACGTTGTAAAAAGCCTTGAATCTTACATTTTTGACAACTTGAAAGCATCAGAAAAACATGAGAACAAGGGGCATTAATATGTAAATGGATTACTTGTTGTTTATTCTTTAAAATTTGGATTAATATCTATTGAGACTAGAATAGACACAAATAATTTTTATTTGTTTACATGACAGAAAATTTCTCTTTGTTCTATTTCGACACTATTTTCCCAAAATGAATCTGTACTAAAGCCATTCCCACTCGGATAGAAAAAAAAAATGCTGTTATATATGATAATTATCAGGGTTGTCCCCAAGAATTGAAATAGCAGGGGACATTAAAAAAAGTAGAAGGGGCTTTTGGGTTCCTCCCCTAACAGGAGTTTGAGGATGAATACCAGAATAACCAGGGGATTACATCATTATAGGCAGGATATTCCCTGGCCCCTGTGTCATAGGGACAACCCTGTGATTATAGATGATCAATAATTTGGATATTAAAAAACTTAAAAAATTATTAACTGAAGCCAAAAGAAGAAGTGATTTACTTAAGACTTGTCCCTAATAGACCATTAAGAACTTATATTCAACCTGACATTACCAAAAAATGTTCCCACCTCATCCCCTCAAAATTTACTTTAACATGTATGTGTGTTTCCCTTCTTAAAGTACAATATACAATGAACATAATTACTCAGATGACTTTATTTTTTCTTCCTGAAATATTAGCATATTGATACTTACATTTGTATTAAACCCTTACCTAAACATGTACTACATAAAAAGCTGAACAAAATGGCTGAGATGTTCTTGAAGGCTCTCATGACTAGTTCTTTCTCTGCAATATCAATTTATGTTAATGTAAGTTTTATAAAATTCATACTGACAGTAAATTATCTACATTTTGTGCACAATACTATATATAATCAGTTTTAAATTGTGTAATTGTTCCACAAATAAAAGGTGGCACACTACGACACATCATGATCATACCTTCAGCTTCAGTCTATGTATGCATCCTTGTTGGATGTATTTAAAAACGCTTGTTATTTAAAAACTAAAGATATAACAGACAAGTTCTACATCATATACATCGAATACAGCTAATTGGACTATCTTTTCAAGCACTAAAAAATACCGGAAGTAGGAATTCAAATATTTTTCAATGTAGAGGTAAACAACGTATATTTTGCTCTCACATGATAGGACATTCATAAAACACGACTAATAATAAACAGATATAGCTACTTACTAAGGATTATTCAATTAAACAAATCTGATTGCGTCTAAATATTATTTATATTTCAACAATTGAAAAATACCTGTTTTTACCTGTAAATTCCTCACGTCGCCATTTTACCTATATGACTCATTTCCCACTTTTCGGATCTCCTCGGGAGTTTTTATCAATCGCCAGTATTAATGCATGTTCGACACAATCTGTCACTCAAACTTGTTACGCCTACCCACTCAATGACGTAAATTAGGAAAGAAAGCTATTTAATGTATGTAACTGAAAAAAAAGTTGATCCACCCCTTTATATTCATTACATCATGGCCGTAGGAACCGGGGGGAGGGGGGGGGCGTGCCCCCCAATAATTTTGCCAATATATAGATTACTATAGAAAACAAAGCTTAAATTATATGCTTGTGCCCCCTCAATATTAACGCCTGATGACTTTTTTTTGCTTGTCAAGGAAATTTTGGTGGTTGATAGTGCCCCCCAACTGAAAATGTACGGGCTGTGCCCCCCTCTTCAACTGAAATTGCTTCCTACGGGCCTGTTACATTACCGTACACCTACATATTGTACACAGATAATATTAATTAGATTAACTTTAAAATATGACATCTAAAGTTGGAAATTTTCTTGAATGTATTTTTTTCTGTCAAGCTTTAGAAATGTTCTTGAATGTCTTTTTTTCTGTTAAGCTGGTTAAATGGGATGACCATATCGGTTTTACCAATGTTTACTGACAGGTGCTTTCGGATAGGATCCCCTCCATCCCAATATATACATGTATGCATGCACAGTCCGGGGCCAGCAGGTCCTTACATAGGAAGCAATTTCACTTTGAGGTGGCAAATCCATACATGTACATTTTCAGTTGGGGGTTCAACTAGTACAACTACCAATAAATAAATGCCTGAAGAACTTAATTTATATTGAAAATTTCCTTATTAGACCTATATGAAAACTAAAAGCTTTTTTAATCGTTAATTTATTTCAGCTATTTCAAATTTATATTTAATTAAATGCACAAATTTATTATTAGTAGATAAAAATTTATGATCAAAATGAATGAAAATATTTTTTTTAAACAAAAAATTCCTTGATAAGCAAAAAAAAAAAAAAGAAGTTATTATTGAGGAGAGGGGGGGGGGCACAAGCATATATATAGTAGCAATGTTTTTTTTATAGTATTCTATATATCAGCAAAATTAGGGGTGGCACGGCACCCCCGTGCCCCCTCTCCCCCGGCGGTTCCTATGGCCATGTCAAGGGACGTTTTTATTTGTTATGTGTCATGAATTATTCTACTAGCTCACATTTATACAAGGTGATTAATATCAAGATCATGATAAATTAAAAAATGAAATTAAAGAAATATGCACCCCCTCCCCTTAAAATAAAAATACACACACAAGCAAAGGAAACAAATGTTGAAATAAACGTTACAAGGCTTTCAGCAACTCCTCTTAGACACCTGACCTCCCCCCCCCCCTCTGGAATTTCCGGGGATGCATGTTTTATGCTCTGTTCACAGATTCAAATTGTATTGTTTGTAGATTTTTTTTATTGATCACCTTTTTCAGTTATTATACTGCATTATATGAGGGTAACATTGAAGCCTGCGCCTCGGTCGACAATAGTTTTCTTGGAGTGAAATTTTTTCAATGTTACCCTTAACTATATGCTGAATTTTTATATTTTACTGAATGTTTTATACAAATAAATATAACACTGAACCGTGCGCGTAAAATTCTGCGCAGTCTATATTTTTTTGGAATATCACCACTCGTCAAGCAATCTTGACTGCTGCTACGCTGGAGGACGTGGTTTCATAATTTACAGGGTGATAGTGTTTTTTTTTTTTTTTTTTTTTTTTTTTTTTTTTTTTTTTTTTTTTAAATGTTTCTCGACGAATCAGATTCATTCAATTTTCCTGAAAGTATGATATAATATCATAACTAGCTTGCGTATATTATAACTGACACAGCAATGACACATATTCATTCCTACATAATGCGTATACAAACAAACATAAAGTTAACTGTTTTAACCCTTCCAGTATCATAAATTTTTATTAAGTTACATAAAGAAATGTTCAGTTGGCAACTTGATTATATGTCCAGTTGTATCACCCCAGTATACATTTTTTAGCATTCCAACTTGAGTTGAAGTGACAGTGAAATCCAATATTGAATATTATGCACTTTCATGATTTCTTGAAAAACAAAAATCTCGCCCAATTTTTAATACATTCCAGGTCAGCTAAAATGATATAGATCTACGAATGTTGGGAACGTGGGATAATTTGCATAACGGGCGGTGCTCGTTATGCTTAAATTATTTCAGGACATGTTTCCACCACAAGTACTTGTTTTACTATTTTATAATACCGCGGGTATGATTTTTTTTTTTAAATAAAACGTTTATTCTACGATAGTTTTTTTTCATACTGAATACGTTGTAAATGTGTAGTAGAAAAATAATTTATGAAAAAAGACAGATAAAAAAGTCTTTTGAGGGGGGGGGGTTATTCGGGGGAGTGGGTGTCCCTGTCCACAAGTACCTGTTGTTTCCACCAGCTGCTATATCGTCTTATTTGGAAAATTATATTCAGTTTAAATGCAGTCCTACAATATGCGAGGGTTGTCCGGTAAAATCGTGGACAAGTTGTCTTTATAGTATATTTTTTCATCAACATTAACATATCAATTTTCAAATAGATGAAATGCTCAAATATTTACATTTCCAATTATTTTCGCTTTGAATTCTTTTCAAAGAGGAAAGTGATTTATTTATTTATTTATTTATTTATTTTTTCATGAAACTGACCTGGATGAGTATGAATTTGTCAAATATAAATGTAATCTCTTTCTTTAAAAAAAAAGAAGAAAAAAAAAAGAAAGAAAAGAAAACAAAAGAATCTAGAATCTCATAATTTGTGTCAAATCATCAAAAAAAAATGAAAATGGAAGAAATGAATTGAATTTTTAAAAATTCATGAGGAACATGAACTACAACACTTCATGTCTGCATATTTTTCATGAAGCACTAAAGTACTTCATGAAATATACCAGTAGAATAATAACTGGTCATTTTTCAATAAAGAAAAATGACCCCGGTAGAATAACGACCCCTTGCGGATTTTATTTAAGGAAGTATTTGTCTTTATGGCTAAAATAAAATAAGAAAATATACTCACCTTAGGTAAACTGAGAATTGTTGGTCTCATTTTTTTTTAGGGAAACATCCTTTCAGATAATGAGTCGAATTCAATGATTGTTAGAATTGTTTTAAAAATGATTCTTCATTTTCCCCTAACAAAGTCCAGAGAGAGAGAGAGAGAGAGAGAGAGAGAGAGAGAGAGAGAGAGAGAGAATTAAAGAAACCAGAAAGAGAATTGCTTACCTATTTACAGTTTACCTACCCACCGTCTACCTACCGGTTAAGCAAGTTGCATCAGTCATTTTAAGTCAACGGATTTAACAATTAGTATTATACATTTAATTTTCGGACATTTAGCAATAGAATCTCGAAAAAAGTAAGGCCAATTTACTGAATAAATCTGAATAAGAAGAAATGCGTTCTAACGACTTTTAGTAAATCTTAAAAACCGACAGAACATATGGAACGCCGGGACTGTCTTATATGAGGATTAAACATTATTAATATGGTGTCTTCCACCTATTCCCACTTTTAAAAATCTCAGTTCTACCCAATCCCACTTCCAAATAACAATAGATGTTTTGATAGTTAATTTGTTTTTATAGCAATTAGGTTAATTTCATCTCACCTTAGATTTATCTGTATTTTGTACACCTTTTAAGACAGAAAATAAATAGATTTCAGAAATTTTAATAAATTAAATAGATGTAAGACAAAAATAATTTAATTCATTTAAACATCTAGATTTTAGAAAATAAAATTATTTTACGAAGCAAATATGATTTAATGTACTTAAATATTTGTTTTTTGAATATGTAAACCTTAAGAGAGAGAAAAAAATGGACTTAAGATTTTTTTTCATTTAATTTGCTTAAAATTAACAATATCATTTTAGCCTCAGATCAGATTTACAATAATGAAAAAATCGAATTTACCTGCCCTCCATCCCAACAGGAGTTAATTACTGGTTAGACAGTAATAATATGTTTATACAGTTAAATATTTGTTTACACAAGTATTCCACCTATTCCCACATAAAATTTTACCTTCACCTTCCTGATTTTCTAAACGTGGGAATAGGTAGAATAAACCATTAATATGCAGTGTTCTCTTCGTTATATGTGGTACTATTTTAATAGTATGAAGTAGTTTTTTACATTTTATCGTGTGCAACTTCCATTATATACAGTACTTCTTTCATTATATGATGTAGATATGTCATTATATCATGTATATATGTCCTGTTAGCATTCCGTGCGGTAGATTTTGCATTTCGTTATGATGTAGACACAGTATTATATGCCGTGCTTTATTCTTAATGTGTATGATCTTTCGGAAGCTAACTTTCGTTTCATTTTATCCAATATATGACTTTTTTAATCTTTACCCTTTGACCTAAAAATGAAAAGATGTCTTCTTTAAGACATTGGGAGTTATGATAAAATTTTATAGAAAAAACTCATAGGATAGATTGTATGTTGTTCGAGAATTTTTCACTCATATAGAGACGTCACCATATACAGGTGAAGGGCTTCAAATTTAGACCTTTACTCGGCACTCAGGGCCATTGAGCAGTGAGGGTTCTTTATCGTGCCGACGTCTACCGTGACACGGAGCCTCGGTTTTTAAGGTCTCATCCGAATGACCCGCAACTTTCACTTCAAAGGGCGGAGCGCTTGGCGAAGGAACAGTTGCTACCTATTTTTTATCGACTTAGGTCAGTCGCGGCCGTGATTCGAACACATCACGGAGCGAGCGCTCTACCGACTGAGCTACCCATAGGAAAACTTAATTATGTTATCATCCGGAAACCTTTAGGTACATGTAACTAGGAGTTATGATATATAACTACATTGAAAAAGCTAAAAAAAAAAAAAAAAACAACAACAACAAAAGTTATCATCTAGAAACCGTTTTTTTGGCAATATTTGAATATATGACCTTGAACTTTGACCTTTATATCAATAAGGGTATTTTAAAGGCCATAGGGAATTATGATGTAAAATTTCATTTCA